CCCTATCCCCCTCCGCGACCTGAGTAGACCACCCAGGCCAGCGGAGGACGTCATAGGGGGCGGGGGTTCTGACTTCGATGAAAGAAGAGAAGGAAAGCGGGGGGCAAGGATCAGGCAGACGAAAGCCCTTTTAGGCTTTACCCGGCGTGTGGAAATGCCTTTTTTGGCTTTTGCGGGGACTAACCCGCGCGGTCGCCCGCAGGCGACAGGGCGCCCAGGCCCTCTCCGCGCGCGCAGGCGCGTGGCAAACTACATGCGCACGATCGCCCGTGGAATCGAATGGAACCGTCCGCGGCGAGTCGTCCGCGGCGACTCAGGACCACGTCGCCCTGGAAGAAGAGGCGCTACAAGGATGCATTCTGCGACGCTGGAGATCCTGATGCGACGAGGACGCTGCAGAGAAACATTCTGCGCGCGTACGCACGACCTGGAACGACAAGCACAATACGGGAACAAATTCGGTGACGCTGGAGTCCCCGATGAGACGAAGAAGCAGCAGAGACACGTCTCAAGGCGCAGCAACACCGAAGTGACGCAAACGCACCCCGCGACACGACAAGGACGCTGCAAGAAGAAACTCGGCGACGCAGGAGTGCGTGGAAGCTACAAAGGCATGGAAAGGAGGCTACGAGGAAACTACAGAGCATTCAAAGCGTCTCGAGCTTAGGGAGCCTTCCGCAGAGCCCTTGTGCGCACGACTTTGGCCGAAGGCCATCATATATGCAAGTACAACAGTTCATGCAGGAATCTCTTGTGCATGTGTTGGTGCCACTGCTGCGAGCAGGCAGTGGAACGAGCGAGGAGGGGGTATCAACCTTGACCGCCGGCCCCCGCCCCCTTCCCTTGACCGCGCTCCGCGGCCGGGCGCAAGCGCGGCCGGTCGGGACAGCCGGCAGGGGCAGCCGGCCGGGGCAGCCGGCCGCCCTCACCTCCTGCTCGTCCTCCTCCTCCTCCTCCTGCTCGTCCTCGTCCTCCTCCTGCTCGTCTTCTTTCTCCTGCTCCTCCTCCTCCTCCTCCTCCTCCTCCTCTTTCTCCTGCTCCTCCTCCTCCTCCTCCTCCTCCTCCTCCTCCTCCTCTTCCTCTTGCTCGTCCTCGTTCTCGTCGTCCTCGTCTTGCTCGTCCTCCTCCTCCTCCTCCTCCTCCTCCTCCTCCTCCTCCTCCTGGTGGTCCTCGTTCTCCTCCTCCTGGTGCTCTCCCCCCCCCCTCCTCCTCCTCGTCCTCCTCCTCCTCCTCCTCCTCGTCCTCCTCCTCCTCTTCCTCCTCCTCCTCCTCCTCCTCCTCTCCTCCTCCTCCTCATCCTCCTCCTGGGTAGTCCTACCCCTCCCTCCTCCTCCTCCTCCTCCTCCTCTTCCTGGTCGCCCTCGTTCTCGTCCTCCTCGTCTTGCTCGTCCCTCCTCCTCGTGGTGTTCTCTCCTCCTCCTCCTCCTCCTCCTCCGCCTACCTCCTCCTCCTCCTCTGCTCCTCCTCCTCCTCCTTCTCCCTTTCTCTCCTGCGCCTCCTCCTCCTCCTCCTCCTCCTCTTCCTCCTCTTCCTCTGCTCGTCCCTCGTTCTCGTCGTCCTCGTTCTTGCTCGTCTCTTCTCCTCCTCCTCCTCCTACCTCCTCCTCCTCCTACACTCCTCCTGGTGGTTCCTCGTTCTCCTCCCCTGTTGGCTCTCCCCCCCCTCCTCCTCCTCCCTCGTCCTCCTCCTCCGCCTCCTCGTCCTCCTCCTCCTCTTCCTCTCCTCCTCCTCCTCCTCCTCCTTCTCCTCCTCCTCATCCTCCTCCTGGTAGTCCTCCCCCCTCCCCTCCTCCTCCTCCTCCTCCTCCTCCTCTTCCGTGGTCGCCCTCGTTCTCGTAGTCCTCCGTCTTGCGCGTCCTCCTCCTCCGTGGTGGTTCTCTCCTCCTCCTCCTCCTCCTCCTCCTCCTCCTCCTCCTCCTCCCGCTCCTGGTGTCCCCTCGTTCTCTCCCTCCTGGTGCTCTCCCCCCCACCCTCCTCCTCCTCCTCCTCTCCTCCTCCTCCCTTCCTCATCCTCCGCCTCCTCCCTCGTCCTCCTCCGCCTCCTCCTCCTCCTCCTCCTCCTCCTCCTCCTCCTCCTCCTCCTGCAGTGAGTGAATGCAGTGGCACGATTGAATGCAGTGGACTGCAGTGTCACTAGCAATTCCTGAAGCGTCTGGCTATTCAAAATGTGGCCCGGGAATGGAGTTCTGGGAACTCGAAGACCAGGAAGTGGCCTACAGTTGGCTCCGGGCATCCAGAATGTGGCCCGGGAATGGAGTTCTGGGAACTCGAAGAGCACGAAGTGTGTGACTGTTGCATCCGGGCATCCAAAATGTAGCCCGGGAGTGGCGTTCTGGGATGTCGAAGAGCACGAAGTGTGTGACTGTTGCATCCGGTTATTCTAAATGTGGCCCGGGAATGGCGTTCTGGGATCTCGAAGAGCACGTGTGTGACTGTTGCATCCGGGTATTCAGAATGTGGCCTGGGAATGGAGTGGCCCGGGAATGTAGTTCTGGGAACTCGAAGACCAGGAAGTGCCTACAGTTGGCTCCGGGCATCCAAAATGTGGCCCGGGAATGGAATTCTGGGAACTCGAAGAGCACGAAGTGTGTGACTGTTGCATCCGGCCCTCCAGAATGTGGCCCGGGAATGGCGTTCTGGGATGTCGAAGAGCACGAAGTGTGTGACTGTTGCATCCGGTTATTCTAAATGTGGCCCGGGAATGCGTTCTGGGATCTCGAAGAGCACGAAGTGTGTGACTGTTGCATCCGGGTATTCAGAATGTGGCCTGAATGGAGTTCGGGAAGTCGAAGAGCACGAAGTGTGTGACTGTTGGTGAAAAACGAGCCCGGCACCCTGCCGCCCGGCAACTCCCCAACACCTGCCCGGACCCCCCTGTGGAGTGATCTGTGAGCTCTTTTGAGTCAACTAGAAACCTATCAGTCTTCGCTGTTAGGTAAAAAGAATCCTTTTGTATTCCGCCACAAGTGAATTCTTTTTCTATTAAATTGAGGCGTGTCACATTTTTCGCGCGCGACCCAGATGTCATGCTGAATATTCGCAAACATGTGGTCCTCAGCCACGTTGGGGGGAGGCCCGTCGCTACGTAAGTACCGGCGAGAATAGCCAGCAGAGGCGGCTCAGCCGCCTCTGGGGCCTCTCTATTGTCCCGCGCCGAAAGTCTCCCTGCTCCCATATCCTGGAGATGAGTTCTCCGACTTGCGACTGACTTGGATGCTCGGCGAGGTAAATCAGGGAAATTAGCCATAACCACTGAGGGATTGTCCCAGAGCCGCTTATCACGGATTACCCAAACCATTACCAGTACGCCTTCGCTCAACGGACCGAACTCAATGATCTAGCCGACAGAAAAGCTAGACCCGTTGATAATAGTAGAACCAGAAAACATACCATTCAAAATGTCAGACCCTGGCACATAACTAGTTGTCAGCCGAAATCTGTGGATCAATTCATGATAGCGACCTGGCAGATCAGCCGCGCTGGGATATTCACTCCATGTTGCCAATCGATGTGCCTCTGATTCACCTGCCCAAAGAAGATCCTCAAGATGCAAGTGCATCGGGTAGGGCTGATCTAGTCAGTCCTAGCCCCACCAGTGGACCTGGCAGAGAAAACACGAGCACCCGAGATATTTATGTTGATCGAGGACTATCCGCGTTAACCGAGTCTGTCGGAGATAAGTTCGATGAACTTATCGTTAAAAGGAGAGTCGCGCGACGTAGCTGTGGGAGCTGCTGGCTTGACCCGAAGTTCCAACGATGCTCGACAGAACGTGGGAGACGAACGGGACGACGTACCGGGGGGTGGTTCAACCATTCCCCAATTATTCCGTTGCCTGTCGACTCAGATAGCAGAGCGCACTGAGATCTCTCAGTCTCCGGTTGACATGTTGAGCCCTCGTGAGCTTGAGCTGCCAGAGCCTTTCCAGAGATGTCAAGAGATCCCACAGGGGAAACGCCGTTTCCAAACCAACCGAAGGGGCGATCCGAGAATGGTATGCAGATTTGCGGCTTAGCTGGGAGTCCCGTAACGGTGTCTCGCTACCCCACGATTCGCGAAACCGGAGGAGTGGATGACGAACTCTCTGACCCGATAAAATCATCAAGATCCAGAAACGGAGAATGTTGTGGACTGTCGGCCGGAGGGGATTGGTGCGAACCTCATGGTGCCCCCACCGACATCTCCCACGCCGGTGAGACGTGCAAAGCTCGGGTCGCCTATGATAGGCCGCACTTTTCCACCGAATTGCAGCCATAGACTGCTGCAGTGCATGCGATGACCAGCCGCCGTGTCTGGCGTCGGCGACGGGGGCGGCAGGAGACGGCGGGGAAACACTGAAAATGAATGCCATCATCATCCGTATCATCCGTGTCATCCGTATCATCCGTATCATCCGTATCATCCGTATCATCCGTATCATCCGTATCATCCGTATCATCATCATCATCATCATCATCATCATCATCATCATCATCATCATCATCATCATCATTATCATCATCATCATCATCATCATCATCATCATCATCATCATCATCATCATCATCATCATCATCATCATCATCGTCGTCATCGTCATCATCATCATCAGCATCATCAGCATCATCATCATCATCATCATCATCATCATCATCATCATCATCATCATCATAGTCATCATCATCACCATCGTCAGCATCGCCATTATCACCATCATCATCATCACCATCAGCAGCAGCATCATAATCACCATCATCATCATGATCATGTTAGTCATCCCCCGAATCCGCCACAATCCTCCTCCTCCTCCCCCTGCTCATCCTCCTCATTCCCTCATCGTCATCGTCATCGTTACCAACATCATCATCATCATCATCATCATCATCATCATCATCATCATCATCATCATCATCATCATCATCATCATCATCATCATCATCATCGTCATCGTCATCATCATCATCATCATCATAATCATCATCCTCGTCCTCATCCTCATCCTCGTCCCCATGATCATCATCCTCATAACGTTAGCAAGACTTGCCACAGGCAACTTGATACGAAAACGCAATTGGGCCGGCAAGAGTGCGCTATCAAGCGCCCGCGCGCCAACAACACCTGCTTGCCTTCCCCGCCGTACGCGTTGACTCTGCTGACCAGCAACAACTTCTCGGCGCTGCCCCTGGGCAAGCCCGGGAAGAGCCCCAACTCCTCGATGACCTCGGACACCTTCCTCACACTCTCCAGGATCGGGGAGGCCTCGTCCACCTGGTACTGCATGCTCTCCAGCTCCAAGCGCACCGCTTCGCCTGCTGCCTCCGCTGCATCAAGTATGCCGAACTCCTGTGTGAACACGGTCGCCGGGAACAAGGGCGACGCGGTATCCACCTGGCTCGCTGTCGCCAACTTGTCCAAGTGGGGGGCACAACGGTCCGAACTCAGGGCCGCCTCCAACACGGGCTGCTCAGACAGCACCACCTGCCGGACGCCGAAGGACAGACCTCTACGGTGTGCTGACGTTTGGGGCGCACGCCCGACACGAGCATGCAGCGAACACACATATGATGGCACAGAGTCGACCGCGAGGTCGGGCATCTCCCCCCCCTGCAGGCGGACTTTGGACACGACACGTCTCTAAACCTACCCCGAACATATGCCACACACATACACACACCAAAAAAGCCAGAACGCGCCCGCCACGGAGCCCAGCCTGCCAGACGTCTGAGCGTGCGCGCCGCCCCTGCGGAGCCCACGCGCACGCGGCCCGAGTCTGCTTGGGCGGCGCCGAGCCTGGCCGGCCCTGACGGCCTCCGCGGCGAAGGCGCTCCGGCCGTACCTGCCGACGCCCGTCTCCCGCACCTCATCGGCTGCACGCAGGAGCGACCCTGGGCAAGAAAGGCCTCTAGTGCGCAGCTTTTGGGGGAGGCCACGGGGGGCCAGGCACGAGCGCGCGAGGCGCGACTGCCGCACCGCGCTCGCTCGTCGGAAGGCCCCGGTGGGCCCGCACCAGAGGCCGCTCCGGCGAAGGGCCACTCCTACGAGCAGTCGAACCTCCAACAAGTCAACGTCCACGGGCACTGCGGCTGCCGGCGCAGAGGGCGCCTGCGGCGCCGTGGCCGCCACGGCCGGGCACAGCCCGGCATCCATCGTCGCGGCAAGGTGGGCCGTCGCCGCCAGCTCCAGCGCAGCCGCCTCCTCTGGAGCCGCCGAGGGCGCCGCCGCGGCGGGTGCCGCAGGGGCAGCGGGAGCTGCCTTCTTCCTCTTGACCTTCCCCATTGCTGCCGCACAGCGCAAGTGGACGGGCTCGCACGGCGTGGAATTATGGACAAACAACCGATCGGAAAATGCATCGAGCCAAATTGGCGACGGGTTGCTGTACGTTGCGCGGATGTCTCGATGCTGCATGCTGCTCGTTGTTTGAATACCCTCAAATCTACACCCCGATCCTCGTGCTATCGATCAGGTGCGCCCGTCCTCGTGCCGCCGCCGCAGCCGCCGAACGTCTCGTCCGCGCATGAGATGACGTGCTGCGGTGAGATCTTGTCGAGCGGGCTGCCCTCGAAGAGCCATCCCGACTCGATGTGCAAAGCCGTGGACAACGGCGCCGCCCGATGGGGTGGCCGACCAGCACCGCGTGCCCCGAAATGGTCGGGGGGCTGCCGGGCTGGCGTTCGAACTGCTCGCCAACGGCACGGATGGGGTGGCCGACCAGTTCTGTGCCCCAAGAGAAGCTCAGGGGGTAGCGGGCTCCAGAGTTCGACTCGTTCGCCAACGACGCCGACAAGATGGCCGCCGGAAGATGGCCGGAAGCAGCGGGCGGGCTGCTAGCCAAGTCTTCTTGCCAGCTTCGAGACGCAGCAGAGCATCCCCCCAACAACGACCTTCCCCTGCCTGCACGGGCCCCTGGCGGGCTTCTGTTCTGCACCCCCCCCGACGCCCCCCCTCCGCCACGAGACGCCTGGCTCGACGTGGAACCCTGGATCCCAGCCCCCCTCAGGGCCCCAGGCAGGCCCCCTGGGATCGAGACCTGCTGCGAGGCCCCCCCCCCCTGGACTCCCTATGGCTCCACAGCCGTCGACCGAACCCTCTGGGGCCCCCTCCCCAGACGTGCGGCGCCTCGATGTCTTCAGCGCGGGGGCTCCGACGGCCCCACTTTGGACACCCGAAATGGGTACCGAAAGAATGGGTACAATGCCCAACAACAAATGTTGTCCCAAACCAACAGCGGCCGCTGTTGGACAGGCGGCCTTCTGTCTCGAATGGACACAGGCCGCGGCGGCGTGGACAGCGAATCCTGTTCGGAATGAACAGGAACTGCTGTTGGGCATCGTACCCATTCTTTCCGTGCCCCTTTCGGGCGTCCAGACCCACCCTCTCCCCAGGGCCGGCCCAGAAGCCCGGCGGGGGCCCCCCGTGGGGCGGACGACTGCTGAGCCCCCCCGTGGCGCTGCCTCGATACGACGCGAGCACGTCGGGCTCGTCGCCTCCCCACTACGAGGCTCCGCAGTCGCCCTCCGCGCGACCTTCCCGGGCAAGAGGAGGAGGAGGAGGAGGAGGAGGAGGAGGAGGAGGAGGAGGAGGAGGAGGAGGAGGAATAGAGGGAGGAGGAGGAAAGGGAGGAGGAGGAGGAGGAGGAGGAGGAGGAGGAGGAGGGTCACTGAAAAACAATAACAAGAAGCACTATATACTAACAACAAGAATAATAGCACAAGTAATAATCATAATCCGAATACTCATACAAGAAATAATACGAATAATGAGGAACATAAGAAGAGCAATCATCAGAACACGCATAATAATCGAACGTGCTACTAACACGAATCATGATGAGAAGAGCAACAAGAAGAGGAAGGAGCACAGGAACAGCGCCTGCGGCGGACCCGACTCATGACGACGGGCTGGCGCCCTCGGCGCGTGGCGCTTTCGCCCCCCGCTGCGGCGCCCGAACGTCGCGCCGCCCCTCGCTGGCGGACCCTCCCTGCAAGCGAGGCCGTCTCCCGACCTGCTGCGCACACACCCAAATCGACCTCGGCCGGGTCGACGCGCTGGCCTCGGCCCGCGCGGCACGCCTGGGGGGGGGGGGGGCACGGCTCGCTCGGCGGGCACGGCACGACCAGCACGTCGCCGCAGCTCCGGCCTCGGCCCGATGCCCCGGGTGCAGCCTGCGAGGGATGTCTGCTCCTGTCGGGGGTCGGGCGTGCGCGTGGGCTCCTCGGCCTCTGTCTCCTCCTCTGCTGGGCCCGTGCGCCACACTGCGTGCGCACAAAGACTGGGCGGTCAACTGCACCGCCCGCATCCTCGCATCCCTCACCCCGTCGATGTAATGCCACCAAGCGGTGGCCGTTCGGCTGTTGGAGACACATACGGAGAAACTCGGGCGTGCCTCTACACCCCGACAAGGGCCAGTCAACAGCTCGGTCCTGCAAAACTGACGGGCGCGCTCGGCATTACACACCAAGCTCCGTCCTCACCCAGTCGTGCCACCCCTCCCTCCGAACATTCTGACAGCGCCTGGCAATCGGAAGTCGCCGCCAGCGCTCTTCCTGCTCATAGCAAGGGAGCACAGCAGCGGCGAGACGGACCAGAAAATAAGTTCGCCGCAGACAATCTTCCATCCGCTCGGCTAAACCTGGCGGCGCACGAGGATGAACTGAAACTGCTTGCTTGGCAAGAACATCAGCGGCGATATTGGCATCTGTCACCCTACGCTGCTCAGGTGACAACTGCCCGTGCTCAACTCCACTACGGCGTGCTTTCACGTGCTGGGCACTCTGGGCACTCTGGGCACTCTGCAAGACGTCCCAGCCAGGAGTCGAACTGCCAAAAGCCTGCGCACATGCATACACTGAGCGATCTACACTCTGCTGCTAACGAGTCCTGTGTGCTGCACGCTCAACCCCGAGTCGGGCGTTGGCAGAACTGGGTTTAGTGGGACCTAGTTTCGTGATCTGTACTGGGGGGCGCCCCCAGGCCCCGTTCCACTAACAGGAACTGCCGCCGCCCGAGAAGCACCAGCAACGGCAGACCTGGTTCAGCGATTCTGGCCAATTTAGGGGCTCGGGGGCCCCACTACTAACCGGGCCCCCTGAACTGGGGTCCTGGCCATGCCCGACCGAGGTAGTGGATGCGCAGCGTCGTCGTCGGCCAGTCCGCAACCTGACCCGCGCGCGCAGGGCCCGCGCGCTCCGCGACGACCGAGGACCTGGGGCATCGCTGGCAGCACGGCGCCGCAGACGGCCATCAGCGGATCAGGGCCATCTGAATCGAGCAAGACAGACCACGGCCCACCCAGCTCTCTGCGACTCTGTCGGGGGAGGCTTCGAGCACTGCCCATCGGCGGCTGGCTCCATGGCAGCGGCCTCGGGCCAGGCTGGCTGCACAACTCCCGAAGATGAATGTCCACTGGCGCGCCATCCATCTGAAAAACACGAGGACTGAGAACCAGGCGCCACTGAAGGAAGCTCTTCATCGAGCTAGGTAAACGGCCCGCTACTGAAGATCACCTCCTTGCTGTCGATGCCCACCTGGATGAAACTTGCTGGCGCTTCCGCGTCCGCCCGCGCTGCCGCCGCAGCGCCTTTCGTGCGCGCGAACAGGCGATGGTGGACAAGTGTCAGCGAGGCCACATTAACATGTGCCGTCAGTCTCGTAGCCTCGCAGCTTCGCTCGCTCACGCGTCCAACAATCACCAGTAGCGAAGGACTTCGCCAGGGGCTTCTGGCACGACGCGTACTTGCGACTCCTGGGGTGGACAACAGGCCCGGGTACATCGACAATCATGCGCGTGCCTGCTGTTACGTCGCGACGTTCAGCAAGGTGCAGCTCTGGCTGTCGCTGGGGCCCTTGCGACATGATAATCTCCGCGACGCCAGGCGTGAGCTGCTGAAGCGGGATGTCTGCACCGAGGTGATCTCGCCAAGTGCGCAAATGATCACCCGCCGCGGAGCGCGCGCAAAGCTGCTCGCTCCAATGGTCCGCGCGACCCTGTCCAAGCTAAACCGCAGGTATCGCGGCCGCGAAGTGCTTGCCCCCATCAAGTCTGCAACTGTGCGATACTTACCCATGCATCTGCAGCGCGCGCCACCGCTGTCCAATCATTCTTAGAATGCCGCAGGGCAGGCGCAGTGGCCTGTCCGGCAGCAGGATCGCCCTCCAGCGCATCTTTCGCAGAAGCAGGCTCACCTCCATGGCAGGGCTTCACAATCTTGAAATACTCACGGCGAGTGTGAACCAGCTCGCTGTCGTCTGAGCCGCTGAGCTCGATGCCGTAGGCCAGTCGAGGGCGGGCTCCTGTCCTGAATGCATTGCCGATGCGCTCCTCTGAGCTGACAGGCGCTGCTCGACGATGCCGTTTGAGCTTGCAGAGGCGCGTCTTGAACTTAACTTGCCTGCTCTTCTGCTTCATTCTAACCTTTGCCGTGCCGCGAGGACGGCCGCCAACCAGATCAGCGCCAAGATAAAGAATCGACCTCTGATCAGCCTGGGAGTTCAAGCCGAGGCGCTCAGCGACGATGGTGCCAACGCCAGCCGAGACGCAAACGGTGGCCATCTTCCCGTTGAAAGTCGCTCCTGAACTTGCAGCCTTCTGCTTGAAGCCCACGCCTGCGCGGGCTGCCTTTCCAATGAGTTGCTCGCGAGCGCCCGCTTCCACACCGCGGCTACCGTCATCCACGTAAACGATAAATACACTTCACTATGCAAGGTCACGTGGCGGCCGTAAACCTCCACAGTGTGCACTTCGACACCGAAACCAGCGCGTGCGTCTCCTGCAGGGAAGCCACGAGCCGCGTGAACAGGAAGCCGAGCGCAGTGACGGCGCAATCGTACGAGCCGACGCGCATGCCGAGTGTTGCACAATAGCTCTGTGGCCGCCGACGGGGATTGAACCTGCAGAACTTCTCGCGCACTTCGCAAAGGTCGATCGTCCTGAACACATGCCTCAGCTCTTGTGCAATCTGCCATGCTGAATCGACTGAGGACCTACTGCTGGCCGCACTCCAATATACTCTGCGCAATAACCTTTGCAATGGATCCAGAGCTGGTCGTCGAAGTCGCTGCCGCGCTCGGTAGACCGCAGCACACAGCACTGAGGTTTAGGGCGCACTGGCACCGGCATCCACAATATCTGCCGTGGAAACATACCGAAC